AATAGGTGGTGGACTAGAAAACCCAAGTTAGGCCACCTTGTCAAAATGACCTAGAAAACACACACCAGGGCCATTTAAGACATTTTATGCAAAAATAGGTGGTGGACTAGAAAACCCAAGTTAGGCCACCTTGTCAAAATGACCTAGAAAACACACACCAGGGCCATTTGAGACATTTTATGCAAAAATAGGTGGTGGACTAGAAAGCCCAACAAGCAAAAGTTAGGCCACGATGGCTAATTAGGAAACGAGAATGAGTATGGAATCTAAATTATACCCCCAAAATCCGATTGACTGGCGACATTGTGAACTGATAGTGCTTTCTCAAAAAGTCCGCCGCCTCCTGTCGTATCCCTTGACCGCCTTTGTAGTTCTGCTCGAATGAAATCCGTTTGCCCTGATTCGTATCCTCATGCAGTGCGTCCAACAAGAACAGCTGGAATTCCGACGCGTCGTGTTGTCGTCCATCGTTCAGATTCCGGTACACTTCATCAGCAAACAACTGGAGGAAACGGGCGGGACGAATCGCCTGGAATGGTCCCGTCCAAATTGTGTCTAGAAGCGAGGCGAATCCAGCGGAAATGACTCCTTTCGATCCGTACGTGTTCTGAGTGTTCAGCTGGGATACAAAGTTCCTCCTGGTGAACACTTCTGGAAGTCCGGGCGTCTGGAATAGACACTGCAACGTGGCGGACATGAAACACGTGTTTCCCATGTTGTACAAGCCGACGGCGCCCGGCAGACCGGCTCCTCGGGATTTGGTCCGCTCGTCGATGGATCGATCGATTGCCATTGTCATCTGATCGTAGATCGAGAGGATTTGAACCTCGTATTCTTTTCTGGAAAATTTGAATTTTCATTTTTAGCTCTTTTTTCCATTTATTGAGAGAAAAAAGCGAAATTCATAGACTAAACATATCTGGTGGGAGAGATCAAAATTGCTTGAAAAGGGCCCAAAATAGGCTTTAAATGGTCTACAATCGTCAAAATTTGTCTGAAAAAACCAGTTTTTAGGTCATCTTCGTTTCGGAAATAGCTTTTTAAAAATGGTTGAAGAGGGCTGAACATCACGAAAATATGGCCTAAATTAGGTCTAGAATCATCCAAATCTGTCTAAAATTGTTAAAACTGGCTTTTTTCCAGTTTTTAGACAAATTTTGAACATTTTAGATGATCGAGTTTAGCCTATTTTGGATCGATTTCAGCCCATTTTAGATCATTTCAGATCGTTCACTGTGGTATTTAGGCCAAATTGGCCTGGCCAGTATTCACGATTTTTTTGCTTATTTCAAGCCATTTTTGATGATTTTTAGGTGAAAAAATTAGTGATTTTTGGATAAAAATTAGTGATTTATGTATCAAAATTGGTGATTTTCCGGTCAAATTTTGTGATTTTTAGGTCAAAATCTGTAGCCAAAATTTGAGACTTTAAAGTCAAAATTATGATTTTTGAACCAAAATTTGTGATTTTTAAGCCAAGCTTAATGGCTTTTAAGCCAAAATAAGTGATTTTTGGATCAAAAATTTTGATTTTTAAGCCAAAAATAGTGATTTTCAGGTCAAAATGTGTTATTTTTGAATCAACAATTCTGATTTTTAAGTCAAAATTAGTGATTTTTGGATCAGAATCTTTGATTTTAAGTCAAAATTAGTGACTTTTAAGCCAAAATTAGCGATTTTTTAGGTCAAAATTTGTGACTTTTAATTCAAAATTTATGATTTTTTAGGTTAAAATCAACAATTTTAAAGCCAAAATTAGTGATTTGCATCTCAACTAATTTACTCACGATATCGTAGCGGGCTTGGTGTTTCGATCCAACGTGGGCGGTGGTCTCTTCACATCTATACCTCCGTTCTGACGTGCCAACGATGGATCCGATGCCGATACATCTGGAGGCATCGTTGATGGTTTTGATGTGCGATCGGGGATCGGAAACACTGGTGGCGGTGGCTGATAGGGTTTCGGCGGGATTACTGTAGGTGGTCCCGGAGGAGCTGGACTGAAAATCGGCGGTCCGGGGCGGTCGAAAGTCGTGGTTGTTGGAATGGATGGTGGAATCGTAGTGGGCGGGATGATGGGTCCTGGAAAGATGTTGTTTATTAATAAAAGTATTAATTCATAGTTGAAAGCGGCCCAGGCAGATGGCGGGCGCATTGAAAATTAGGTCATCCCATTTTTGACATCATGCTTTGAAGTGAATTTTTTTCAATCAAGATGTAGGTAGAAATGGCTGGATAGGGGGTAGTCAGACAGTACAAGGTTTGGACTATACTGTAGATAAGACAGAACCGTTTAGCCGTATCCAGTGAGATCGGTCTCCGTTCTCCTTCCCGCATGAGGTTGCGAATTTCGATTTTGAAAATAAACCTTTGTTTTTCTCTCCAATGGAGACCCACATGGAGTGTGAGTTATGTCACCAGACAAAAATAGCTATCGGTCATAAAAGTGACACTATTATCTGGCAGCTCCCAATACTCCACTCCTTGGTAGACATCCATCC